TAATAATAATAATAATAATAATAATAATAATAATAATAATAATAATAAAGTCATGCCGTGTTCATTCTCAGGTACTGCTCAGAAAATGCATGAACCAGCATTCACACCTATACCAGAGTTCTGGAGTCATATCATTTCATTTGTGAGACGCTAAAATATTCCTGAACAGTCATTAAATTGAAACAAACAAAATCTCAAGGAAAAAGCCATCTAGATTTCTATAATCACACATTGGTTTATTTCCAAATAAACTCTCACCAGCAGTTTAGAAACTAGTCTGTGATCTCCCTCCCACCTCCCCACTGACTTGAAAATAATGGGATCATGAGTACACCAGCCTTAGTTTTATTAACATTATTTTTTAAAATGAGCTGCAGTACAGCACTCACTGTTCACAATAGCTGTTGGCAAAATGGATGCCATCGCAGCTTGTTGAGGGAGCAGTTGTATTGAATCCAACAGTCGAGCAGGATACATCCCATCAGTGAGGGTCATCTGACTGGCAGCTTGCAGCCTTGAGTCAAAATCCACAACAAAGGCAATTAGCTCTTCTCCCTCCACAATAACTTTTGTTGTTGTGCACCACAGCTGGCCTCCTGCATACAAGCACACAAAAACAGAAACAGGTCATATTTTGTACATGTCATCAGCAATGCTGGACCCTTTATATGAGGAATCCTCTGTCTTTATGATTATCCCCCCCCCCACAATAAGCAACTAACAGCATCTTCTAGAATCACCCAGATATCATTGTACCAAAATAATGATAATATTGTGATAGACTTTATTGCACTTCAGCAGTGAGCTGATAATGCTGTGCTGTAAATCACCAGTAGGGAAATGGCCTATAATAGTCCTTCTGTCCTTATGGAAGAACTGAGTTATGCTTTGATGAAAATATAGATGGAAGCTTCAGAAACAAAGCTTCACATTACTCGTATTTGTTTTTTAAAAAAATCTGTATGATCCATATATTCCTCAAATGCACCTTTTTTTTTCTTATGAAAAATGGACATTGGTTGGGTGCAGATTGGTGTCGTTTCCTTATGTATAGTTAGCTAATAGTTTTGTTGTTTGTTGTACACTTTCTGTTTTTTCAAATGAGGTTTCTAAATATATTCATTTAAAGGGCATTTAATATTTATATAACATTTGAAGCCGAAACAGCACAAAAAACAATAATTAAAATATTTCCCCACCTATCTGTAAATTTAAATATATTAAAAGACATGAGTTGCAATGAGAAGTTTTAGGAGGATAACAGGAAATGATATCAATTAGAGTCAAAATAAGAATGGGTTATAAAAAGCACTCAAAATAAAGAAATAATTGAATATGTGTATATTCATTCCAATGGGGTATTAATGAGGAAGGAAATAACAATGCACAATATGTTGTTCTTCATACAATCTTTTTACACTTTTCTGGTCCATGGGCTATTTTTCTCCCGGAGGGGAAAAGAACCTTTTCACATGATGAAATACATCCTCACATCTACAGCTATGCCAATCCAACATCCTTTAGGGGTATGCTGAGATTTGTTTCATAAAGAGTTATTCAAATTGAAAAGACACATTTTCTTCCAACAGTGAACTATACCAAAGCGTGGGTTGTAAATGTCACGTGTTATGCATTGAAAAGAAAATTAACTATGTAAGAAGTAATGAACTAATGTATTTGAACATGATAGTGAATGTTCATTTATTGAATATGTTTAGACAGGTTAGGCACTTATACGATGTTATCTTTAGTTTCAGGCCTAGATATTTATCCAGAACAGTTAAGGCTACAATAATGTTGCATAGTTTATGCTTTAAAAGGTTTTCCCTGACCCCTTTTCAGGAATGTGTGTGTGTTCTGTGTACAAGCAAGTGTATTAATTGGGAAAATAAAATAAAATCCACACTAGTGAATAACAAATTTGATAAGTAATATTGCTCTGTTTATCTTTCAGCATAACTGTCTTTTCAACTGCACTTCATTTTTCCCCCTTCGTTTCCTCAAAGAGATTACAGTTTTAAAACAACTTGTTGCAAAAATCTGGTGGAGGAGATAAGAACAGGGTATGTGATATACAACAGCAAAATAGAAGAATTAGGACATTGTTTTAGTGGAATCCTGCACAATTAATTAATCCAGTCCTATTAGCTTTCAAAGATGAGCAAACAAAGCGATATTACTTTCGATGTGTTTGAGAAGGAAAACTTGGGGCTGAGTTCCAAGAAAAGGAGGCAATAATCCAATCTTTCAAAGAAGAAAAGTTTCTTTGCATTCACTTTTTTTTTTTGCTAGATAATGCATTTGGTTTTGCCATTTTCACTTCATATGCAAGTAAATCAAATGTACAGTAATTATTACAAGACTGCAAATCTCTGCACCCCTGTGATAAATGTAGGTAAGCAGTTATTTAATGAAATATCCTTGACCCTAGCAAGAAATGAGCATCTTCAGTCCACAAATACCACAAACTACCAGTACATCTGAATTTTCTTCTTTCCTGCTCTTATAGTTTCTTCCTTATCATGTCCAGACCTATAAGAGATATGAACTTCTATCAACTCAACTTTCTACCAAGCTAACATTTTGTACATTATGGACAGGGATTTTCCCTTGCCTGGTGAATGCTCTGCCACGCAAATCAGCTGTGGTCTTAAAAAAGGAACTAAAGCACAGGAAAGAGCAGGGGTGGATGGGTGGGCCCACATACTCGTTGCAGCGAACCAGTTCACTGCCAGCTGATCTTTGGAGCAAGGGGCTCACTCAAACCGGTCCGAACCGATCGACTCCCACCCCTGACCCAAATTAAGATAAGGCTTAGGGGAGACATGATAAGTCTTCCAATACTTGAAGGGTTGTCAGAAGGAAGAGGAGGTGGATTTATTCTCCACAGCACCTGACAGCAGGACAAGAAGCAATGGATGGAAGCTTATCAGAGGGGTAATCCAACCTGGAACTAAGGAGGAATTTCCTGATTGTAAGAACAATTAATCAGTGGAACAGCTTGCCTCTTGGAGTTGTGGGTGCTCCAATTGCTGGAGGTTTTCAAGAAAAGGTTGGACAACCATTTGTCTGGGATGACATAAGGATTTCTGCCTTGGGCAGGGGGTTGGATTAGAAGACCTTCAGTTCAATGATTCTATACTTTCCTGATTCTTTATGAGCCCAACTACTATTTGTGAAATAAATCATAGATTAGTGTGGCCAATGAAGAGACCACATCAGCAGTGCCTTTAAACTGATGCAAGCATGGGTGCACAATTGTAGACTTTGGCCCTGCATATGCCACTGCATACTCCAACTTCTAATATTGTGCGAAGTAGAAAAGAGGAAAAGAGATAAAACAGATGCAACTGTATTGAGCTTATTCAAGTACAGTCTGTTCTTCCTACATCCCATTCAATGATCACGAGTGACCCTTAGCCTGAAAAAACAACAACAACCCTGTGCAGTGCTGGTCTAAAACCATGAAGGAGGAAATGCTTACTTTGATCCACATCTTAATGGTGCCATTATTCAGGTATTTGTTTCTCCTGAGGGAAAAATAAATTCTTGTTTTCTATAGCAAGCAGGAGTTGCAGGTGAGAAAGCAACAGGTAAATGAATTGGGAGATGGAACTGCTTCTTCTTCTTTCCATAGAAAGGATACTTAGCTATTCTCATTTGAACAATAATAGATACATTCAGTTTTTACCAAAAGAAAAGGCTGTTTTGAGGTATTCTTTCCTCTTTTTTTTGTTTCACTGATGCTCCATCTTTGCATTTTAGGTCACTCAAATATCATTTCTGCACAAAAATATGCTCCGATCTCTGTTCTTTCTAACCTTTATCATCGTGGCCTGTGGAAACAGCTCTGTTTCCTAACAGGAAGTCTACAACTGACCCTCATAATTGCGGTCAAAACCGTTGTGAATTTTGTCAACACATTTTTGAGAGCAAAGTCATAGTTTGGAGTTGATCACATTTTGGAAAATCTATGCTTCTATTACAATAATCAGTTGCCTCAAATATCCCAGTGCTGCCAATTTTTTTTTCATGTGCTCTTTTTATTATTTATGAAATCAGTGCCTGCAGAATGTCATCCGGGCCTCTGCCGATAAACTCTAATTAAGATTAAGACACGTCCTTTGGAAAGGATCCTATCATTAGCAAACATGATAAACACACAAAAAAACACTCCCTACTTGTCAAACCGGAACTATTCGGTAGCCGAACAGTATTATCTGTTGCTAGGCTACAGCACTGACAAAGTCTCAATTATTTTGTATGACCATACCTATAGAGTAAGAAATTGTATCTGCTATAAAGACACAGAACTTCAGGCATGCTATTCGAAAATTCATGGCTCTTAACAATGGCAAAATCCATGCTAATAAAAACACAACAACACATTTCAATTGCTCTCCCCCACTTCTTCCCCCCCAAAAAAAATCCTTGTAAGATGCCTTCTGTTTGCATAATGATTTCTAATTTATCTCTCTGAGTGATAACTATAACACAACATAATACAAGCTAAAGACAGCTCTAAAGTAAGGAACAGCATCTCTAGTAGAGAACCTAGCTCAGCATATTTATGTGTGCCTTTGCATGTGTGTAAACAGACACACAGTAAACAACAATGCTTACTCAGAGATTATAAGCATGCCTGATCCACACCACATTACAAAATGACAGTCTAATTCGTACTGTGGCATGGCTGCTGTTTGAGCGGCAACGGTGGGCATAATGCCAGATGGCAAGTACATGAGGTGAGGCGGCTCTACACAAAGCCGTAGCACTTCCAGTCTTTGTGATGAGGCATACTTGAAAATGATACAACTGTGTGACCAACTATGACATGCAAACAGCTGGCCATGCTGGTGCTCAGTTGGCATGGTGTTCTCGATGTGGTGACCACATAGCATTTCAGATGCTGTAACTGGATCATTTCCACATAAGCTGTCCAACTCAGAAGCTGTATGCTGGATGGAGTATAATTATGCAGACAGAGTAACCCCCCCCCCCCCATACTTGTTTTCAAGGAAGCTGAAATTCAAGATACTGAATTCTGGAAAGTGTGCAGTTCCCACTCCAAAAATGGATATTGAAGATGCAGCAGGGGAAAAAAAAATTCTGGTCCCAACACAAGTGGCAGATGTACTGGATGGAAAATACCAGGATATCATTGTGGTTACATGTCCCGTCCCCCCCTTTGTTCTATCAAAATGAAGACCTTCAGACAACTGAGTGAGTCATTCACTGTCCTTTGCAGTTCTCGGATGACTGATTTGCTTTAAGAGCAATATAAAATAGAAGGACAGGATGCTCCTCCTGGTTTTAGAAGACGAGTCCCTGCCGATTTGAGTTGGGGAACTGTGCTTCCAAATCACGGGTGCCATATGGCTTTCCGATTAGTGCCTTTCTATCACATTTAACTGCACTGCCTCAGCAGGGAGAAAATGTTAAAAATAGTTTAATTTTCCTCCCAAGACAAAGAGCATGGAGAAATGCAAGGCAGGTGCATTTTCCTCAGATTTCAGGTACAGATTTCAGGAAGGCAGCAGCATTTAACGGTTCTATCAAACAATGTTTCACCTGGTTTTGCACAGCAATCCAAGGT